TCTCACCCTACTTTACTTTATTTGTGTACATTGGGGACAAAGCACAGTTTTCAGTGTGGGGTGGGGGTTATTCATATTTTGTGGATGAATGTACTTAACTGTTACAATTCTTGTAATTTTGATACTGTTGAGGGCTTGGGCTATAATATTCACTGGATTAATGACCTGTAATAGTTAGTAAATTCATCTATATGGAGTAACTCTCAGTTCATTGTTGTGTGTAGTCGTAGTAAGTAGCCTTATCAAAAAAAAAATAGAAAATAAAGGACTTTTCCTGACGACGGACTAACTGGACAGTTCTCTCGAGGGATTAAGGTCCTTAGAAAAATACAAAAAGATTTTCATTTGATTTTTGAAATTAGAGTTAGTATTAGGAGATTGACAGAAAACTAAAGAAAAGCACCAAAATAGAGTAGTAGCCTTGAGTAGTTAGTAAATTTTCTTTAGGTAGTAATAATCTCCTGTGGTTTTTCTTTGTGCCTCGGTTCTTTTCCATGTGATGTAGTTTGAACCGGGTAGCCTTTTTCTTTCCGAGTAGATTAGGAATTTAGGGAATAAAAAGAGCAAGAATGATGAACCTAGGCGCCCTTGACTTGTTTGATAGTAGCATATTTATACTTTGGCATGTGTAGTATCTTCTGTATGATTTGAAATTATTGATGATGCCTTGTTAAATTGGATAGCATGTTTTGTGGCGCCTATGTCTCGTTTACATGACTTATGTTCACCTTGTGCTTATGCTTAATATCTCGTTGCTCCGTGAATACTTACATTATTTGAGAGTCGGAATGTGATCGTCCTTAGTGAGTCATGTGCCATGTGTGGTGAGGTTTTTGTGTAGCCCATATATTGTACTTGTGTCTAGAACTTGCCCGGTATGTGAGTTGAAATGAAATTTGAGGTGATGCTCGGTTTGAAAAATAATTTTAGGCTTTCTTTGATCTTTTTGAGCTTATTGCTTATCATAAATAAAATTTATCCCTAGTTAACCATTTTGAGCCTAATGACTTTTATTTGGCACCCACATTACAAGCCTATACCCTTTTTATTCTTAAGTGATATTATTTTGATCCTTTTACCTCTTAAATCACTTTAATTGTTAGATGAGCGCTAAAAGAAGTAAGAAGGGACTAAGTGTGGGGTGACTTTTGAGTGGAACCAATGAAAGGAAGAAAGGTGCACTTGTTTTGTAAAATACTACACCACTAGCGAAAATTAAAAAAAAAGAAAAAGAAAAAAGAAAAAATAGAAATGAATAAATTGTTGTCTTGTTCTAGCTAGTGGGTATGAACTAAAGTAGTGCTTAAAGAAAAAGGGACTGTTTTGTGGGTGATATTATTTGTGAAATTGAAGTGGTGTTGAAGAAAATACGCTTAAAGTAATTTTGTGATGTATTAAAGTGCTTAGGAGGGTGAGTCACTATTCCTTAAATATATCCTACCCGTCCCTTAGCCCACATTACAACCATGAAAAAGTCCTAATTGATTTTAGATCGAGCGAGCTTACATTAGTAGAGATTTACATTAAGGGCAAGTCTATGGTACCAATTGCATGCATGTGACTTCTTTGTGAGAGTGAGCGATTTTCTTTGATATATGTGAGTCATTAAAATATATTTGATCATGAAATTCGAATGTGTGGATTGAACTAGCTCACTTGTTCTTGTTGTGAGGGCACATGGTTTCACGAGGGATAGATAACGTTATTAGACTTCTCTATGATGTTGGGTGTTCAAGCCATGAGTGCATTGTGACATTGAGTCGGTTTTTGAGGTTAGGATTGTTGTGAGCATGTTGTTTTTGTTCGAATATTTTTTTAAAGAATGACATAAGTAAAGGGAAGTGTATGTGATGCATATTCTAGAGCCTAATTATTACAAATAACCATGGTCATAGGTGTAGTGTGCTTTGAATGATAAGAGCTTAATTTTGTTTCGTCTAATATAGTGATGGTTTGTTTAAGGACGAACAAAGGTTTAAATGTGGGGTGGTAATGTTGGGCATATTTCGATATGTGTTGATGTTACTTTACCCATGTTTTAATCATTTTTTGGTGCTATTGGATCTTTAAAATGCCCAACATGGTTTAATTATTGGTTTTATGACTAATTCAGTTATGTATGATAATTTAGGGTATTTGGAGTGCAAAAATATGAAAAAATGGTGCTCTAGCTAGAGGAAGAGGGGTTGGATGCGTCGCATCCAATCTAGAGAAAAAATCAGATTTCGTGCACCTTTAGTAGTGAAGTCGGCCCATAGAATCCGCCTTAGCATCCGCACCTGGGCAAAGCTGAGATGGAGGAACAAAGTGTGGATGCGACGCATCCACCCTAGCATGCGAAGCTGAGAAGTGGAGTACGAGGTGGATGCGACGCATCCACCTCAGCATCAATCCCTGAAGCTGAGTCGGATTAGGAATAGGGAAACTTTGGCCCACGACTTTTGTATGCAATATATAAGTCAAAAACGCCTCTTTTAGGTCATCTAACATATTGGGAAGGGGGGAAAAGCCATGACAAAGCTGGGGAACCACGGAATTCATCTTGAGTTCTTATTTTTCCTTCTTTTATTGATTATTATGCACTCTTGTGAATTATTTGATGATTGCATGAACATGAGTGGCTAAGAACCCTATTATTCTAGGGTCATGGGCGATACATGAATGTTGATGTTTGAAGTTTAATTTGACAAAGTTGATTTTATCATATTGGGTTGTTTATTTAATTCTGTTTTTAATTAATTTGCTGAGTAGCTAACAGTGAATTACTATCTACGAATCTAGAGTTGAACTCGAAAGTGGGAATTCTAGATTGTATATAGAATTAAATAGAGCAAGTTCTTGAACCCGGACATCGGGGAACGGATTCGCAATTAGGATAGAAATATACCTAATTGTCTTGCTCGGTTGAAATACAGAAAGTGTAAATGCATTCTTGTTAATCTTAATTCCATAGACATATAGGCATTAAGTTAGCTTGAATAGGCGAGTAAGAACTCGACAGATTTTTATGAGTAATATCAACCCTGTCAATCAACAATCCAGATAAATCAATTAGTTATTTTAAGCTAAGAATGCAACATGATTGTTAGATAACCCGTGACCCTGAAATATTATCTCCTATTGATTGTTATTCGAAATCATTTAAGTGTTGTGGTTGATCTTTAGTATTTCATTACTTGATAGTTTTTAGGTAGTAAATTAGAAAATTATCTATTTTGTGAGAAATCGCTTGAATCGATAAGTTATTTGAGTTTGAGTTAGTCAAAAGTTAATCATAAGTCTTCGTGGGAACGATACTCTACTCACTACTATATTACTTGACGACCACGTATACTTGCGTGAGTGTGTTTGGTCGCAACAAAGCCCTTCGTTTGACACAACCTCGGGTGGCACCCCCTGGCTCTTGTTGGTGGAATTTCTCTTTTTGTTAAGTCCACTCCTACCAGCAGCACCTTGGATGACATTGGCTTAGGTGTTGGCAACATTAATTTCTCCGTCGTTCGCCATTCTCTTTGTTGCAACATTTGCTCTGATGTCACGTTGTCACGTCCTTAGTCGTTAACTAAGTATACGTACGGCACTTGACAATTTGCTTACGATCTTGCACAACTTGCTCACGTTTTTGCTATGCCAAGTTAGCCTTACTACACCCAAGATCGCTAAGAGAATGCTAGAAAGAATACAAGAGAATTATTAAAGGAAGTTTTGTATTAGAAAGAACTTGAATTGTTTGCTTGGTGAAATACAAATGAATGGCCCCCTTTATATACTAGTCTCCTAGGGGCTAGTGTGTAAATATTAATTGTTACACAAGTCCTTAATATTTACAAGATAAGGGTTTTCTCTAGAAGTCTCTACAAGCCTAGAAGATTCCAAGGACTTTCCTAGCAAATACATAGGGATCTAGGGTCTTTCAAAGGAAATGTCCATACTTCTCTACAATCTTCTCACAAATGCTATCATTCTTCCTATGTAAGCTTCCACATGGCATTAATATATGCCAAAGGGTGGCATGATGACATGGAGGGTCATCACATTAAGGTGTGCTGCTTTGGATTCTTTGAGATAGATTGACGTCAATTTCTGTAATCTAACAGAACTAAACATCGAAAATAATTTTTTTGCCTTCTTAAAGGTAAGGGTAAGGTCCGTGTACACTGATACACATATTCCAATGCCAGCTCAGACACCAGTTCAGATGCCATGGGGGCTAACAACTAAGGTTTGTTCACGTGTTTGTTGCTGTTATTTTAAATTTTAGTTGTTTTAGTTAGTCTTATTTTGCATTTCATAGATAAATAGGAGGATTGTAAGTGAGCAGCACCCTTTTTGAATGATAAAACTCGTCTGATTTATTCTCGCTCAAATTATCCTCTTTTCTTCCTCTGCTTCCTACTTTCCTAGTTACTGGTTCATTGGTTCCTCATAACAGAATTTGGTATCATACACACTACTTTTTTTAAACCTTTTACTTGTGGAATTACCCTGATTATTTTTTTAAATTTTTTTTGGTAACTGAACTAAACAGTTCGCAGCACTTCATTCTGGTTCCTTACGTAGTTTCTGTAAACTTTTGTCCGGAGACGTGAATAATTAAGGTTGAATGTTTACTATTTCACTTTTTGATGATCTCATATTAGAAAATGTGTAGTGATAGATTTCCATAGGCAAAATACTAGAGGGGTAAGTTAAAAATAAACTTAACAAGCACCAGAGATTCCAAAATCCAAATAACTTTTAGACTCCAATTCCATGTCAAAATTAAAATTAAATTTGATCAAAGATTAAACTTATCCTTTGGTTCTTTATTTTTTTAACGATAAAGTAGTTCCATTTTTTATACCTTATCTCAAAGCCTTACCAAGTATAAATGCTTAAATTTTTGGTGCTGATGTTTTACTGATGGCTCTAAATAAATTAAAAAAAAAAAAAAAGGTATTGGGTTATTGGGGAAAAATCAAAAAGAAAAAGGAGGGTGAAAGGGCAGGAAAAAACCGGAACTGGATAGGAAGATATTTACTCTTTAAGATGTGCTAAACCGGACGGCACCGCTCCAAAGCTTCTCGTATGTCTTTTCAGATAATCTGTGGGAATAGGCAAACCCCTCTCCAATGGCGTCTCTCCACTCATTTCCCGGAACGGCTAACTACATCTTCTCCCCTAACACTCTCCTAAAATTCCGTCTTCCGCCTTCTACACTCCATTACCAACCCCTCTGCGCTGCGCCACACGAACCCAGCACCACCGCTTCCCCACCACAGCACTCTGGCCGTAACACCAGCCACTACACTCCACAGTCAAGACCTCGCCGGAATAACAAGCAAGATTACAGAAAAACCATTAGTATCATTCAAAAAGAAGCTAAACCCTTAACACTGAGCCCCATCTCAGCAGATGATGTTAACTTGATGACTCTGTGCAATGAAGGTAAGTTTGAAGAAGTAATCGAGCACATTACGCAAGGCGTTGGCGCTGACTTTCGTGTTTTTGAGGCATTGTTGAGCTACTGTACTAAGCTTGCGTTTTTGGACATTGGGGAGAAGGTGCACGAGCTCTTATTACGCTCGCCGTGGAGTAACAATGTTGAATTGAATGGTACGTTGGTGGAAATGTACGTTAAGAACGGGAGCATGAGGAACGCGAAAAAAGTGTTTGATAAAATGCGTGAAAGGAAGTTGGAGTTATGGCACTTGATGATTAGTGGGTATGCAGAAAGTGGAGATGGGGAAAGTGGTTTGCTTTTGTTTGAGCAGATGAGAAAACTTAGGGTGTCGGAGCTCAATGGGGACACTTTTTCTGTGGTTCTTTCGGCTTGTGCTAGTAAGGGGGCTGTCAAACAAGGTTTTATGTATTTTAAGCTGATGAAGAATGAGTATGGCATTGTTCCCGGAATTGAGCACTATTTAGGGATTATTGATGTTTTGGGCAAATCTGGGCATTTGAATGAAGCTCTAGAGTTTGTTGAAGACATGCCTATTGAGCCTACAAAAGAAGTATGGCAGTCCATAATAAATTTTGCACGAATTCATGGGGATATCGAACTTGAAGATCGAGCTGAGGAGCTGCTCATTAGGTTCGATTCTTCTAGAAATATGGTTGATAAGCCCCCTGCACCATTTCAGAAGAGGCATTCTCAGTTTAATATGCTTGAGGGTAAGAATAGAGTTAACGAGTTCAAGAGCACAATTCAACACAGGGCAGATGTATATCAGAAATTGAAAGGCTTGAGCGGGCAAATGAGGGATGCAGGTTATGTACCAGACACAAGGTATGTGCTTCATGATATTGATGAGGCGGCTAAGGAGCAAGCGCTGATGTATCATAGTGAGAGATTGGCTATTGCATATGGTTTAATTAGTACTCCGGCAAGAACAACTCTTAGGATCATCAAAAACCTACGGATATGTGGTGACTGTCACAATGCAATTAAGATCATGTCAAAGATTGTTGGGAGAGAGTTGATTGTCAGAGATAACAAGCGGTTTCATCATTTCAGAGATGGTAAATGCTCCTGCAATGACTATTGGTGAAGTCTATTAGTCTAGATTGAAGCTATTACTGCATTTTTACTCTAGAATTTACATGTAAATTTACTTGGTGCAATGCATCTTTGCAATCATGTTTATAGGATGATATCACATTGTACATTAGTTATATGAATATTTTGCAATAGAAAACAATTAAAATTTCCCTGAATTTTCCAGTTCTTGTTATTGGCTACATCTAGAACCATCTTATCAGTTTCTACTATTAACAAGGTCTAATAGACCTCCTTGATGAACAATGGCACATGCAACAAAAGTTGAATATTGAACAATGGCATCTATTAATATTTTATGGACTCAGATTTGCTACAGAAAGGATTTGAGGATTATCGAAGTTTGATATTCGCACATAGCCGGTCCAGCACATAGAGCTATGCTACTGTTGACTAGTTCAGGTCATATATGCTACTGTTGACTAGTTCAGGTCATATATGCTACTGTTGACTAGTTCAGGTCATACTGATGTAGAACTAAAGGAACTGCAAATCACTCCATGATGACACTGCACAAATGGAATGGTGCAGTCCAAGAAAAGAGTTACCAGGTGTATAACATGATGGGACGAGAGCTTTCATTTACAAGAAATCAAACTTCATCCACACATTTGCAATGTAATTGTGTTTATATACAGAAAGGATCCTACCTAGTTATAGATGCAATGAGCAGCAGTCTCATCTAATTGCTTGATGAGTCAACTACTTATTCAAAGAAAATGTATGCTTGTGTTTTTCTTAAAAGAATGGATGTACAAACTTAGAAGTCCAATTCTGAGCCTGAGAAAATTTTGTTAAGAGTGCAGGGATGATGGTTTACTATTTCTGCGGCTGGTAACAACTTCTACAACAGCTTCATCTCTTGATGGTACTCTCAGGTATGATTTCATCAAATCATAAACAGTAAATCCAATTGCCACGGATGGTACAACCTTAATTTCAGAAAGCACATTGATCAGAGCCAGTAATAGATATTAAAATATAGGAAACGAACAATATTACCCACTTTTGGGTCNATTACCCACTTTTGGTTCTAGCAACTGGCATTTTGCCTGGAAAAATAGGCTGAGACCCTTATACTTTCTGTTGAACCTTAACCAATCATAAGTTTCATATGTTTTCACTTCTATACCTTAAAATGTCCAGCATACCCTCCATTCTTACATGTAGAAATTCTGTACTTTAAGGAGTAGATATCGCATTACCTTCACATAATTGAGGCTCAACCCAGAAAATAGTTGCTTCCATCCATGTCTTTGTACAATCATAACAAGAGTATCAAGTGTTCCTTTCATTTCATGGCTGCTGCTAGGTGCGGAGAGTCGTTGTACCTGAAATATTGTCTTCTCTTTGTCATTCCAACAGCAAGTTGATGACAAAAAACACTTGTTTGCCTTTGCAGTCTCAGTATAATACCTGCATCTGCCGTCTCACGACATCTAGGGGATAAGTGAAAGTCTGACCTAGTAGTCCTGCAACAGATCCACATGCTAGTTTTACTGCGATAGACTTCCTGCGCTCCTGAGGGACATGGCTTTTCATTTTCTCATAGAAGTAAAATTTTAGCCCCGCATATGGGAAGATTCCATAGAGTGATGGTGCTGCAAACACAACATGGTTATTAGACTGACAAAACTTGACAAAAAAGGCCTAATCAGAAGTATTGTAAGGCAACGACTTCATACCAACACCACGGTACAGCCCTCTTATTCCAGCTTCCTTATATGTCTTTGAGAAGCAGTCCTGTATCCCTTTGTAAAACTGTTCACCTGTAGCAAGCCCTTGTACATTCAACTTCTGGGATCCAACAACCTAGACGATCATAAGCAAAAAATTGCTCATGGAACAGTAGTACGAATTCAACTCATATCCCTAGGACGAACATAATCCAGCTCAGGAAAAGCTCAATTTGATCAAGTTGCGGATCTCTGGTCAATTGATTTCAGATGAAAGGAAACGAAAGAACATGTCCCCGTATTCTCTTACCTGGTAAGCCAATTTAGTTCGAACTAAATCAAGTGGATAGGTAAAAAGTACAGCAGTCCCACCAGCAAACGATCCTGCTACAAGATCTAGAACTGGACCTCTCCCAACTCCAGGAATACTCTGTATAATCCAGCGGCGGTACTCCTCATAGGCCATGAAATGCAAAGCAGCATAAGGCACAATGCGAACAACACTAGCTCCATTTCCCCTGGAGAAGAGCTCCACCAGCAAAACATGTGAAGCTTAAGATGAAATATATATCTCTCAATTGAGAAAGCAGTAATTGTGGATTCTTCACCTGAAAAAACCGAGAGCTCCTTCTGTCTTAGCAATCTTTGTAAAGGATCCGGACAGCCCCAAACTCCGAAATTCAGCTTGTCTGGTCTACGAAGAAGAAAATTTAAGGATAAGACTTTGATCTTCCGGGATTCATTATATTTTCCACTTTGTAACTGAGTAGCAAGATAAGATTCCTCAAATAGATGTCCACCGTCACTTGAGTAATGTTCAACAAATTCCCGTGAAAGAGAAATTTTGAGCTCTTCCAAGAGCATAACAAAGATCAATTTTTTCTAGTAACACACTTTAGCACTTGTGTCAATAGCACTCAGTGTAATTCGTTCTCTTAAGTTTGTTAATCATTCTCCATGGTCAGTACATCAACCCAAGATTAGCATCATTATCTTGACAAGCCCAATTCAGTAATGCTCCATTAAGCCATTAACGAGAAAGGCCATTTTTTTTTTTTTTTTAAAACAAACTACTGGAGAAAATTAAGCAGAAAAAGAGAAGAATAAAGAAAGAAGTGAGCACCTGAAACAAGATCTTGATAAGCTCAAGAGGGGCAACAGCAGTCTTAGCAAATCCACCAGCCACACCCCCAGCTATTAATTCTTTTGCAAAGAGGGGCATCCCCTCTAAAACCCCATCCATTAACACAACCCTCTCCTCCTTTTCAGTTTCATCCCTCTGCTTTGCCATTCGAAGAAACTGACTGAAATGGGAGAGAGGACACAAATAATGTGTCTCTCCCCCTCTCTATCAGCACTCTAATTTACAGATCGAAAACGTAAATGGATTCTTTCTAGCTTTCGTAGTAGCTACGAAAACTAGCGGCGACAGTTTCTGGGTCGTTTGGAAAACTAACCAATGACGGAATCTTTGGGGAATTTAGGACGGGTGATGAGAGTTGGGGTCTGTTTATAATATGTACATTGATGTTTCCAGTTATATTAATTTTTGGCCAAACATGGTTGACTATACTTGAATTCAAGGAGCAACCACCCGTGCATTTTTATATTATTGAATTGATGAGAATATACGTCGCGTCGAGGGGGAAAAAAGATGATGTTCGGTTTTGGATTAAATATATATGTATAACTAATTGGAACTTGGTCCAACTTTAGTTTAGTAGTAAGATTTTTTAATATCTAGAAAAAAGAAAAGAAGCATCAAAATTATTGTAGCTCAAGACATGAATAAGTTGCCTGCTGATTTAACTTTAATACCACACAAGTGGATGATTTGTGTGACGTTCAATTTTTCGCGTGCACAGATTATAGAAGATCTGGTTCTTCTATGTGTTCCTTATACTACTGTTGCGGAATAATGAATACAGAAATTAAAGAACACAAGGATTTTTACGTGAAAAATACCTGGCTCAAAAGGTGAAAAAATCACGATCTACTTCACAGTAGGATTTTTCCAAAACTCTTCACTAAATCACTAAGCCAAAAAACTGCATTTACAAAATACTTTTGTAAACCTAGGATTAACTCTAATCACGTTGTGGCACACAGCCTCTAACTGTTGCGACAACTTCAAGTTAACTCTAACTTGAATACTCTAAGTACCTATTACAATTGCCTCTAGATAAAGCTGAAAGGTACAATATGAAAACACCTACTACAATTGAACTAGAATAAGAGACAGACACTTGGAACTGGTTCTTATATCTGGTTCATGTAGCTTCAGGTTCGCACACTTGAATCACACACGAACTGCTTGCAAAATGCCTTGTTATTTTGCTCTCAATTCACGTTTAACTTCTGCTTTTGTGCGTTGCCTGTAGAGTAAGAACATCCTGCAATATATAGAGTTAGTAGATGAAGAAATAACTAGAGTTCTAATGCTACTCTTCCTTGGTGGAAGAGTTCTAGTTAATCTCAACTCCTAACTCCTTCCTTATCTTGGATAATGTTCTCGTTGAGTAAGGAGTTCTTCTCCTTATCAATTATGCAATCTTTTCGATCAGGAGATATCTATTATTATGCCTATCTCCTACATGTGCGTCTCATGTGCTTTGAATCTGCCCGTGTCTATGCCTATCAGTGATGGACCTGGTTCATCCCTGAGTTCCTTTGTCAATCTTCAAAACTATCCTTTACTTGGGCCAACAAATTCCCCTTTTTTTATAATGACAAACTCTGTACTTCCATAAGCTTAGGGCATGTTTCAACTTAGCCCAACATCAACACAATGTTAGAACAATTTTCACTTATCATCAAGGACCAGGTTCATTAGGTTATAAATATCACTGTTCAGAATACACAACACATTTTTCCCCCTTTTGGCATCATCGAAAAGTTGCATAAAAAATGTGTGAAACCCAGATTTTAAAATTTACTCATGGCCACTGGGCTACTTCAAATGCATTCATGGATTAATTATCAATAATCAGGCTAAGAATTTAAACTATCAGAGAAATATAAACATACAGTTAGAGCAAAAACCAGCAGATTTCATTGATAGTTGATATGATTCTTCCACAAAACACAAAAAGAAATAAAAATACTGAAAGCATGAGCAAAACAAGAGATATCTCGAATCCGGGTCACTGAAATTTCGAGACTGGACTAGGAAGTTAAGGCTTGGAAGAACTGGAGGCTTGATTTTTAGCTTGGAGAAGGTGCAACATGTTTTGAAGAATTCCATCATTCTTCTCCTTTTCCTTTGCAAGTTCTGTTCGGAAAGCATCTCTCTCAGATTCTACCTCAGCCAATCGTGTCTTTAGCCTTGTTATCTTAGCATCATTTGCCCCACTCTCATGCACCAAAGCTCTGACCTTGCTATTTATTGGTATCCTTTTAGATGAACCAGGTTCATTGGGATTGACATGGACTTCATAATCACATATGAGCAGGGTGTTAACCCCAAAATAGTCTTTGCTTGT